AACACTCTGTGAGGTAAGTGCTATTAATATCCTCAATTTTATAGCTAAGGAGACTGAGGTTCACAGAAGCTTTATGAGATCACACAGCTAGTGAATACCTAAAGAAGGATTCAAACCCAGGTCTTCTTGAATTTTAGCCCTGAAGCTATACCCATTATGCAAAACTGCTCCCAAGGGAAGGTTTTTTTTTTTTATTGGTTTGTTTATTGCATATGACACAATAGGTCATGCATGGGTATCTTTATTTGCAGAGAATTTTGCTAAACCTTTGACTGACTAAACCTGCTTTTGCCCTTTTATAGTCCCTGATGGTTGGGAAGGAGAAGGATAGATATGGGCCTGGATCTTTCTTCCCTTTGCTCTTGTCACCTCTCCTTTAATTCTAAATCTTGCTTCTTCCCCAGATGACAGAGTACCTGTCCTCCTTGGATGGCCTCCCCTTCCCTGGACTTTAATACCCTTCCCCTGAGTTTTTCTTTGCCTTTCTCTCTAACTCCCAGGGATGTGTTAGAGTGAGGTAAAATAGAAGTGGATCCCCTCAGGCTACATATTGATTTAGAAAACCAAAAATTTAACATGATCTATATTGCGTTATACTTTTATTTATTTTGTTAAACATTTCCTAATTACATTTTAATCTGGTTCCAGTAGCACTCAACAGTTTCGCAAGGCCACATGCTGATGTGAATTCGACATCTCTGTGCCAGAGCCACCTCTGACTGACTCAGGAGAGATAAGCTGATTGTTAAATTTTCAGTGTGAACATTTATATCTTGAAAAATCTGTAAACACTGCAAATCAGGGCTAGGTTGTCTAGACTTAAGAAAGTAAAAAAATATTAATAATGCAAATTAAACTTAAAAGTGTGTTAATGCTACATTTCCCCTCCAGAGAGCTGGTTGTCAAATATTTACTAGCACATCCTTGTCTCTCGCAACTCCCTTTTCCCTTTATCCCTCCCAGGTACATATGTATGTTAATTGTGCTTAGTAGGCAGAGTAGGGTCTTCCGGGTTGGAGTTTCTGCTGCCTCCACTTTCTGGCCCCAGGACACCTGGTCTAGGGCATAGAATAGGATGGATTGGCTCAGGTAAGGAATCCAAATGAGATTGAATGGCATTTCACTCTGGGCCTAGAGGTGGTTGGATTAGAAACATAAAAACCCCGCCAGGACTTTTATCTCTTAATGTTTGTGTGATTTTGACCCTAAAGATTAAGTGAAATCAGGGAGAATTGTCAACCTTGTCACTAATTATATATATACAAGGAAAACTGACACAAGGAAAAGAGCTTAAGTAAACAGTTGTTTGGGTCGTGTAATACTAATTACAGTCATCAGGTTTGCTATTTATGTCTATTTACATACAGTACAATTAGCCCCTAGATCCAGTTACAAGAAACCTCATACCTCCCTTGGCATCTATGACAACGGGCATTTCTGGCTCCCCTGCCCTTCTGTCTCCTTTGTCTCTTCTTTTTTATCTCACCCCTCCCAGTAAACACATATCCCATTAAATATGTCAGATTAACTTTGTCTGAAATTGCATTTGGTTTACACAGTAAACTCTCTCCATATACACTTAGTCTTCATAGTACACTGCACTTGTCAGTCATGTGCTCATAACAAACCAAAAAAAATATCAGGAACGTTGACAGTGATGTGTACCACGAGATTTACTATTGAATTATAGAGTCTTGAGCCATCTACAGAATTTTCTAGGGTAAGTTTTGTCTTTCTAATTAGAAGGTGAACATTTGAGTGCAGATGTTATTTTTTATTTCATTCGTAATCTCTATTGTACCAATCATAGTGCTGGCTAAATTGTAGTTACTTAGTAAATAACAGTGTATTGGTCTAAAGAGAGGCTGTGCCCTTAAATCTTTTGAAAGGAGACCTATAAACATATTTATATATGTAGGTATGGAGTCCTTCAATCCTCAGCCCAGTTGACCTAATGAATAGAAATTAGGGGTAGATAAAAGAGGTAATGAGGTGTTAATGTGTTAAAGGAACCCCTACTTTGCTCTCTTCTTTTGGAGTGTTAAGAGGTTTTCTTCAAGTAGTTAGATAAATTTATGGCAGCCCAGAACAGATAATAATAACTAATATTTACATAGTGTTTTGAAATTTGCAAAGCATTTTATGTTTTATCTCATTTGCTCTTCTCAACACTCTGTGACATAAGTGCTGTTAATATCCTCATTTTTAAAGCTAAAGAGACTGAGGTTCAGAGAAGCTTTATGAGATCACACAGCCAGTGAATACCTAAAGAAGGATTCAAACCCAGGGTAGCTGGTCAATGACTGGCTGAAGATTGGTTATATCCCTGGTGGACATTAAAAAATAAGTTTGTTAGACGAGAGAGAGAGAGAGAGAGAGAGAGAGAGAGAGAGAGAGAGAGAGAGAGAGAGAGAGAGAGAGAGAGAGCGCCAATGAATATTTGAAGCAGGAATCAGCTGTGTGGAGTATGACCTCTGATTCTATCCCAGAAAGCAGCAAGAGGAAAGATTTCTCTTTTTTTTTTTCCTGCATTGGCCATGACATCTTGCAATGAATAGGGCAGCCCACAAATAGGAAACTTACTGCATCTAGCATGGAATAGAGAGAGAGCAAGAAAGCTAGTATGGACAAGAAGCAGCTTCAAGAAGCATGATTCCTGGCAGTAGAGAAAAGCCAATCATATATTAAAGGGAAAATTAGCCCTGGCAGCTGGGAGTTGAGCTATGGAGAGAAGCAGGCTCAGAGAGCCCTGCTCAACAATCTGTCCAGCAGAGACATTGCATCTAGTGGGGCGAATGGTGAGGATGACACAAGAAGAGAAAGGATATTAGGGGTCTGCAGCACCAGATACATGGCCTCATGTGTTTCCAATGTGTATGCCTCACTATCAGTGACTTTTAGTTTATGTGTACTTTCCTCAGTGATGTCATATATATTTGCTGGAGAACACATCCTACAATGGGTTAATAGGGGCAATGCTTTGTAGCACTGTTCTTATTTTTATTATATTAGTCAATGTCTATGCTTTGAGCTATTCCTATCTACTGGTTGGAATTAAAAATCACCAGTTGGGGCTTATGAGCTATAACTTGAGGACTGGGGACCCATAGAGTAGTTCCTTCCATGAGGACACAGCCTGTTAGTGTCAGGTTGGGAGACAGTAGACTGATGGGTATGCTATATATTTTCTATCACTGTATCTATATGCCTGTCCATCTTTTTATTATTTATCTATTCATCCCTCTTTCTTTCTTTCTCTATCACATACATTTGTATATGTAAGTATAAATAAACTCTTTATTGGACAAGGAGTTCCATGATTTCATTGGTGTAGGGCAGTAGTGTCAAATAGAAATGGATTTCCTACAGGTGCCTATTGACTTAGAAAACCATAAATTAACATTATCTCTGTTTAATTATATTTTTATTTATTTTATTGCATTTCCTAATTACATTTTAATCTGGTTTGGCCTCATCCTGGAGTTTTACTCTAGGGCCTGGAGTTTAACCCCTCTGATGTGGGGTTCTTTCTTCACTTGAACATGACAGCATGTCATCTCCATTGCTTGTGGGCCCTGAGAGGTTAAGTGACTTGCCCATTGTTACACAGCTACTATATGGCAGAGACAGGATTTGAACCAGGTCCAAGGTTATCTTTTTATCCACTACAACACATTGCCTTTTACCACCTTAGCAGCTGCAAGCCACAGCCTTTGTTTCATCAATCCATGGATGGGAATATAAGACTCTACCTTTAGTACAAGGCTGAATCTCTTTGGGGAAGAGAATCCCAGGGATGACCTCTAGCTCCAAGTTTCCAGCAGATTCAAGGATAGAGCTGAGTGTAAGGGATAGAGAGGTGAGGCAAGCTTTGCAGCAAGGTTCTTATTTGTAAGGGACTTGGGATAGGTATGCAAATAGCCCCTGACTTTGTTTCTCTTGCCTTCTGCAGCAGTAGCCATCAGAAATAGGCTGGGTTTCTGTGACTTGCCCCTGTACTACAGGAAGACCAGAGAGGCTTAGGTTTTACTTATGGTACTATGGCAATGATTATAAGTAGCACCTATATTTTAGGAATGCTACTTCTAGGAAGGAAAGTTTGACCTATCAATCAATCAACCAACCAAGAAGCATTTATTAAGCACCTGCTGTATTCTAGACACTATACTTGAGCTGCGAACATTAAGGTAAAAATGAAACCATTCCTACCACCAAGGAGCTTACATTAAGACCAATATGGCACTTTTTGGATGATCAAATACTCCAGAATTCTATTATACTAGGTCAGTGTTCTCTGTTGGTATTCCTGAGCAGGCACAGGACAGGCTTCTCAGAAACTGTAAGGAGAGGATAGAATGAAGGGGGAGCAGGCCATCAAAAAGCATATTTGTTGATTACATTCAAGTCTATGCCTCCATTATAGAGGCATTGGCAGTAAAGTTATTCAACTGTGATCTTAAAGCATCTCAGCCTGGTTATGATAGAAACTTAATTTCACATTTTTCTCCTGGTACTGACCTGTCAGGTGCCACAGGCAGTTCATCCGTCCGTTCCCCTCCAATTGAATTGTTATTGTTCACGTCCAACTCCTCATGATCCTTTTTGGGGTTTTCTTTGCAAAGCTACTGGAGCGATTTGTCATTTCTTTCTTCAGCTCATTTTACAGATGAGGAAACTGAGGCCAAAAGGGTTAAGTGACTTGCCCAGGGTTGCACAGATTTGAACTCAGGAAGATGAGTCTTCCCAACTCCAGACCAGGCACTCTATCCACTACATGCTCCAATTACATTAGTAAGGGTTTTATATATGGAGGGGCACCCCTGTTTTGTGTGGATATTTTCTCTTTTCCCTTTCTCTGTATCCCCATTAAATGCTTATTGACTGACTGATTGTTTTGGAACTTGGTATGGCCACAAGGGGCTTTCTCACAGCATGGAGTTTCCCATCAGTAGTCACTTTTTGATTTGTGGTGCTTATTTTCTTTCTTTTTTTTCTTTCAGTTTCCCAAATCAACGCCAGAACAGCTCGGCCAGGGGGGAAGCTCATCGAATCCCTTTCTGTGACTGGAGTCCCACCAACCTACAACATAACCCTATGGCTGGCAGGCTGTGGCAGCGAACTTCCTCTCATTCAGCCTTGGTAGGGAGGGCCTCTATTTCCTTGTGCCTCCTCAGTGTTCACAGTTAGTTGGGCGTGTTATAGTAGAGATTCCTTTTGTGAATGGATTGGACGGGGGATTGCTGAGGTTCCTCCAAACTCTTAAATTCTGTGCTCTTTGGATGCAGAAATCAGCTTCCCCCCCACCACCTCTGAAAACCAACCTTCTTGGTTACCATTAAGATCATTGATTTAGAATTGAAAGGAACCCACAGGCAGTCGTGTGTAGCAGTGGAAAAATAACTGGATTTGGAGTCAAAGGATATGGGTTCCAATTCTGTTTCTGTCACACATGGCCTGTGTGACCTCGTGTAAAACACTTCACTTCTCACATATAAAATGAGGATTGTTGTTGTTTAGTTGTTTCAGTGACATCCAACTCTTTGTGACTCTTTTTTGGGTTTTCTTGGTAAAGATACTGGAGTGGTTTTGTCATTTCCTTCAGCTCATTTTACAGATGAAGAAACTGAGGTAAACAGGGTTAAGTGACTTCCCTAAGGTCACAAAACTAGTGTCTGTGGTCAGATTTGAACTCAGATTTTCCTGATTCTATTCACTGTGTCACCTAACTGCCTACAATGAGGACTAGATAACCTCTATGGTTCCTTTTAGCCCTAAAGCTATGATGCTAAAATCATCTAGTTTACTTTATAGATGAGGAAATTGTGGTGATCTGACTTGCATAAGGTCACAAAAGTAGCAGAATCACATAGTTTCAGAGTTGGAAGGAACTTTGGAAACCATTGAGTCCAAATATACCTCAAAAAATCCCCTTAACAACATCCTCAAGAAATGGTCATAGAACATTTTCTATTTTCCAATTTTCTACAGTAATTCAAACCCATATACTATGACTCCAGTCATTTCCCAATAGGGGCTTGTATTTTTTGGAGAATATAGTTTCTGTCCCTCTGTCCATCCATCTATCTATCTATCTATCTATCTATCTATCTATCTATCTATCTTTTCATATGAAGCTATAAATCTCGATCATGTGCTGTTTTCTTTTCTTAATTATATAATAAATTCAAGATGTCGTTTTCAAATCTGCCCTGCTTGTCTGTGGTCCTTCTGTTCTCTTCTGTGCATTTAAAATTCATCAACTGTCCTCTTATTTTACTTTTCCTTTTCTTTTTGGTGGCAACTCTTTCCCTATTCCCGTTTGCTTCCCAACTGTCTCCCTGTAACCCAATTAGAAAAAAAAAGTAGAATAAAACCCTTCTAACAAATATCCATAGTAAAGCAAAACAAACTCTCAAATAACTTATGTCCAGTTCCACACTTTGAATTCATTTCTCTGTCTGGGAGAGGGTAGCACTCTTTATTATTGGTCTTCTGGAATTGTGATGGGTCATTGCATTAGTCAGTATTTAGACACTCCTACTTTGTGATGTAACTTTTTATAAAGTAAAATCCATTCTTTTCATGTCCTGGACTTAGAAGAAAGTCACAATACTGTTGTTTTCCACTTTATTAGGATTTCTATCTAGGTCTTCCATTCTTAACTGCTTTCACTTAAGAAAAAAAAAAAGTTGGTCCTCCCTATAATAACCACTAGATGGCACCAAAACTCCACAAGCACTTTATTTCCCTACCTGCTGTTAAGAGAAATAAAGATGCTATTTTCATAGAATTGTAGTTTTAGACACAGAGGAAACTCTGAGATCATCTAGTCCAACCCCCTCATTTTATAGGAAACTAAGGCCCAGAGTGGCCTCATAAGGTCACACAAGTAATAAATGCAAAGTGGCATTCAAACTGAAGTCTTTCAACAGTCTAATACCAGGATGTCCTTGTTGAACTTTGTAAAGCAACTTGTCCAAAGTTACACAGGAAGTAAATGAAAGAACCCACACTTAAACCTAAGTCTTTTGACTTTCAAGCCAGTCCCATTATAGGACAACAACTTACCCAAACCTTTGTAAGATGAGTAGAACCCAGATGCCTCACCCTTTTCTGTACCAAAAGGAATTCTCTTACCTTTCATGTCTTGGGGATCTACTATTATAGAGAAATGTTGACAGCATGACTGCCTGTATTTAACTCACTCTAACCTCATGTCCTTTGGTACAGTGACCGTCCAAATACCCCTTTAAAAGGGAAGAGTGGATGAATTCAGATAACTAGAGCAATTGACCCAGAAGTCAGTCATACATGGAATTACTGCAGTCCTGTTATGAAAAAAGTGACTGAATTGATGTAAGAGATATATTTGTGTAATCATAAAAACAAATGGAAGTTAAGGAGTTGGCTATTTATTAGGTGCTATGGATGTTTGTAAGTAGATTTTTAAAAATTGTAACATTGATTAAATTTTTTTTTAATTTCAAAGTTCATAAATTCCTTTAATTTAGAGTGGTACAATGAGAAGACCACTGGCTCTGGGGTCAGAGGACCCAAGTCCAAATCCTGCCTCTGACATTTAGTGCTTAAGTCATTTAACCTTTGTTGGTCTCAGTTTCCTTATCTGTAAAATAAGAAGGTTAAACTGGATGACCTCTGAGATCCCTTCTAGCTCCAGGTCTATGATATAGCATCCTAGTTTTTCAGATGAGAAAACCAAGATCCAGAGAGGGGACCTGGTTTGTCCAAAGGCACAGGCCAGGAGCAAAAACTGTTATAATCCACCATAAATCATAATGATGATGGCTCCTTGTTATCACCAGGGTCAAATAAAAATTCCCTTCTTTGTATGGTATTTTTACAACCTGGTCCTGTCCTACCTTTCTGGTCTTCTTACACTTTTCTCCCCTTCTAACAATCCAGTAACACTGGTCTGCTTGCTATTCCTTCCGTATGACATTCCGCCTCTTGAATCTGTGCCTTTTCATTTCCCGTCCACCCCCCTCCCCAGTCTCACCCTACCATGCCTGGAATGCTCTCCCTCCTCACTTCTTGGCTTCCCTGGCTTCCAACTAGACTCAGTTTAAATCCCATTTACTGCAGGAAGCCTCTTCCTTCAATGCACTCCCCACCCCATCCCCCCAATACTCCCTACCCCACTGCTAGTGTCTTTCCTCTAAGATTATCTTCCATTTATATCGTATATATCTTGTTTATATACTTTTTACTTGTCTTCCCTGTTAAGATATGAGTTTCCTGAAGGCAGGGACTAGGTTTTTGCTTTTCTTTGTATCCATAGATTTTAATACAATAGGAACTTGTTGACTGACTAAAATAGGGTTTTGAAATTCTTTCCTTGGTATTCAAATAAAGTAGATACTCCGTCTCTTGATTCTGAACTCCTGAATCAGGTAATCACTCTTTTTCCATAAGTCCCACAGCTCCAGGGTCCATGTTAAATTACCTGCCTTTGGAGAGGGTCCTAGCATCTGCCATCTAACTCATCTTGAGATGAAAGTCAGAAGGACTCTTGGTCATTTAATCCCTTTCTTTCTCCCCTAGTATTTCCACATGGCCATCACCATGGTTCAGATTTGTTTTATGACCAAGTATCATGGGGGTTTCCTTGGCTTGCTGAGGGTTCAAGTACTTCTTGCTTTGGGTTTCTTGCTATTGATTCCTTTGTCTCTGATGTTCAATAGCTACTTGCCACGGGAAGAAGCAGATGAAGACCTAAGAGGGGTCAATGTGACAATCCAGCGACTGCAAAGGATAAGCCCACCTTTAGGAGGATATTTTCAGATCCAGCTTCCCAAGACAGTGATACCTGGTAAAGAGGAAACTGCACATGGGGTGTTTCTGCTTTTAAAATTGGCACACACTAAAGGCTTAATAAATGCTCTATCTCATCTATATCTAGATCATCCATCTATCTATAGCAATTATCTATATATCTAATTTTAAGATATATATTCATAATAATACTAATAATAGCTTACCTAGAGACAGCAAAGTGACATACATAGCAGATAGACTCCCTGGTCTGGGAGTCAAAAAGATCTGAGAACAAATTCTACCTCTTTCTGGACGTGTATGATCCTGGGCAACTTACTTAACCTTTCTCTGCCTCTATTTCCTCATCTGTAAAATGGGGATAATAATTACACCAACTTTACTGCTGTAAGGATCAAATGAGGTAACATGAAAAGGGAAGGTCATAGGATCATAGGATGTAGATGTGGCAGGAATTTTAAAAGTTATCTCAGGGGCAGCTAGGCGGCACAGTGGATAGAGCACTGGCCCTAGAGTCAGGAGGATCTGAGTTCAAATCCGGCCTCAGACATAAAACATTCACTAGCTGTTTGACTCTGGGCAAGTCATTTAACCCCAATTGCTTTACCAAAAAAAAAAGTTATCTCACTAAACCTCCTCATTTCATCTAACTAGATCCCCTCTAGTTTGGGGATTCTTAATCTTTTTTTTTTTTGAGTGTATCATGGGTCCCTTTTGGCAATGGATGCCCTCTCAGAGTAATGTTTGTAAACGCATAAAATAAGATACAGAGCATTACAAGGGAAACCAGTGATATTGAAACATAGGTATCTGTCTGTCTATCTGTCTGTCCTTCATCTAAACAAACTAGTTCATTGACCCAGGTTAAGAACCACTGGTCTATCTCAACTTCCATCATTTTGCAGATGAGGAAGATGAGGCCCAGGGATGTTAAATGCCCTGCCCAAGATCTCACAGGCAGAAATGGCAGAACCAGGATTCAGACTGAGACCCCCTGACCCCAAAGCCAGATTTTTTTACTCTACAACACAGGTGTCCGCTGATGTGTGACCATATGAAAGGTGGTCAGTTCTTTTACTTTTCCTAAGGTCACTTTTGATTTTTCAGCACAAATACGTGCTGAAATTTAATTTAGTTTTCAAGACTTGAACATGACATCTGAAATGTGATTACAGGGTTGGTGGCATTATATGGGTTTGTCTTGTATGACACTTTGTGCCATGAGAGAGACATTGCATAGCATGTCAGCTTTGGAGAAGGGCAAGCCTGGATTGCAATCCCTCTGCCTCATATGTTCTCTGTCTGTGCAGCAAATTGCTCAACCTCTCTCAGCCCCAATTTCCTCACCTGTAAATTGGGGATAATGATAGCACCTAACTCCCAGGGTCATTCTGACAACAAAGTAAATTAATGTTTTGAAAGTGCATTGCAAACCTTCAAATGCTATGTAAATATGAGCTATTATTATTATTATTAATGCGGTAATGATCATCATGTGGGCTGCTAGGTGGTACAGTGGATAGAGTCCCTGGCCTGGAGTCAGGAAGACTCATCTACTTGAGTTCAAATCTGCCTCAGATACTACTAGCTGTGTGTCCCTGGGCAAGTCACTTGTCCCTATTTGCCTCAGTTCCTCATCTGTAAAATGAGTTGTAGATACCACTCTGGTATCTTTTCCAAGAGAATCCCAAATGGGGTCACGGAGAATTGGATACAACTGAAGCAACAACAACAATAATGATCATCATCTCATCATTACAGATCACATTTACATAATGCCTATTATGGGCACTGTGCTAAGAGCTTTACAAACATTATTTTATTTGATTTTCACAACAACTTTAGGAGGTAGATGCAATTATTACCTCTATTTTACAGATGAGGAAACCAAAGCAAGCAGAGGCCATGTGACTTGCCCAAGATCACACTTCTAATAAGTGTCTGAGGCTGGATTTGAACTCAGGTCTTCCTGTCTCTAGGCCCAGTGCTCTATCCACCGCACCAACTAGCTGATTAAAGGCATTGAGTTAATATCACTATGAAATGACATTTTCCTAGTGAGAAGGAACTCAAAATTGGATTCAGTGGTTCTCTTGAATTTCCACTTTGAGGACCCAGGACTATTCCAGCAGACTTGGCTTTTGCTCTCAGTTGCACTTGCCCTCTGTGGTGAGTTATTTCATGTTGTGTTGCTTACTATTTGAAAATATTCCTCCACAGGCATCCCTGTGCACATTTCTGCTCATGACCTCCGTGAGCTCTTACAGGGCAGCAATGACGCCTTTGCAGCTCAGTTCTTCAATGTCAGTGACTTTAAGGTGCAGAAAGATCTAAACACCTGCTATGAGCGTGTGTGGACCCTCACCTGGATGTCACAAACAGGGGACTTGCCCAATACCATCAGTGTATGTATAATGTTCCTTCTTCAATGTGGAGATTTGATGTGACCAGTAAAATAGACCTGGCCAGCCCACATAGGGTTGTCTTACAAGTTCCTTCTCTCAAAAGCAAGAGTTTCTTAAGTGGGGATTGGGTCAGGGAGGTATATGACTCCAGTGGTTGGGTAGTTTGCTATTATGAATGGGAAGATGGGTTTCATCCTACCTTCCCTGTCACAGCCAAATATGTGGCTTGTTTCTAACAAATCATACTACCTTTAAACGCAACACTACTTTTTCCCTCCCTAGTCTGTCCTGTTCACTCTTCTCTGCAAGCTCTTAAGCTCCCCTCTTTTGAGCCAGGTGTTACAGCCTCAGGGAAGTTATACATTAGCTTCTACCTGGGCACTCATAGCATCAATTATGCAGAAGAGGAAAATTTCACAGCCTTCTCTCCTGCCATTGTACTCACTCTCTAACCCCAGATCACCTGGTGACTTTGGCAGATGCACCTTGAAGGCAAGGCTTGGCCCTCTAGGGCAAAGACCAGTGACTAAGAGCCCCATATCTCCCAACCCTGTCCTTTTTTTTTGAGCAGACCAAAGGGGGTCTCACATGATAACCAGAGATGGATGAGTTCTGTTCTGTATCACCAATCTCATTACATTACCTTTTCCCCTAAAAACCACCCCTCTTCTGAACCACCCTTTTTCTGTTCAGGGCACCACCCTCTTTCCAGGCACCCAGCTTTATAACCTCAGTTATATCTTTGACTTCTCATTCTCACTCATCTCAGTATTGCTGATCAGTTGTTAAAGCTTATAATTTCTACTTTCATAATATCTTTCTATTCTGTCCCCTTATTACTACTCACACAGTCACCAGCCTATATCAAGACTTTCTCACCTCTTGCTTGGATCCTTCTAACTGGGTTCCCTGCCTCAAGTCTCTCCCTTCTCCAATTCATCCTCATTTGTCTGCCAAAGTGATTGTCCTAAAGATCAGATCTTATGATGTCACTCCCCTACTCAATAAACTCCAGTGGCTCTCTATCAAGTCTAGGATCAAATATTATTTCATCTTCCCCCTATTTGTAAAGTATATAATTTTTTATAAAGTATATAATTACTAGTATGGTAGTACATGTATATAATTTATAAATAAGTAAATACAAGAATATGGAGGGTTACTCTGTGTGTATGTGTGTGTGTGTATTTTTTTATCTGATAAGGTATATGATTAAAAACAGTTTAGAAACTGTTTTAGATATCTTCAAGCAAAGCCTAGACAATCCTTGGGTATATTGTAATGAGGATACTTGTTTACTTATGGATTGAGCTCAATGACTTCTGAGGTCCCTTCCAATGCTGAGATTTTGAGGATCCATTATGGTATCTTTCATGCAAATGCTTTGAGTTACTTTTCATAAAACTAGGGAACTCTACCCCCTATTCTTATCAATGTGTTACAGGATTATAGACACCAACTCCCTCCTTTTACGTGGAAAGAAATTGACATAGTGGATAGAGAGCTGGTCTCGAAGCCAGGAAAACCTGGATTCGATCCTGCCTCTGACACATATGGGATGTGATTTTGGGCTTCCTTCTAACTTAAACTTTCAGTTCTCCAGGCAATTCCCTGTGATTGTAAGTTGCAGAACGTTTTAGGTCTGCATTGGTAGAGAGAATTTCCTTATTGGGAGCTTCCTACCAAAATGAAATCATATCTCCTCTTTCCCATAAAAAGTTCAACTTTATGTCTAATTTGTACCCCCTTATAACAATTGAAGCCCATTGTCCCCCTTTCTAACCTCGGTGAGAAGTGGTTGGTCAACATCTCCACTTCAACTGACTATTCAATAGTTTGAACAGATTGACTTATATTGTCTGGGGATAGTGACTGGGATAGAGGACTGACCTGGGAGTCAAAAATACATGTGTTTGAGTCCTGCATCTGACACTTACTAGCTACGTGATGTGGGCAAGTCAATGCCCAGGCAGCACCCTAAGGCCATAAGTTACAGACAAATTGTTTGTACTTCATCATCAAAGGGACTTTCTGCACTGAGTTTTCTATATGTTGAAATCACAGGTTGAGATTGCCACCCCCGTAAAAAAAATCTTAGAGGCATATGTTTTAGAGGGAGCAAGTTTGAAAAATAATTTATGTACTCCAAAGAAAGAAAGTGAAGAAAGGAAGAAAGGAGAGAGACAGACAGACAGAGACAGAAGAAGAGAGGCAAGAGACAGAGAAATAATTTGTGATTCATCATGTAGATGATGACAAAATCAACTATAGGTGAATGTTTAGGTTTTGAAATAAAATGATCTATCAGTCATATGGTGACTAGGGATGTCAACATGAGACTTTTATAGCATGAATAGGGTATTGTTGTGTTGTGACCTCTGGAACTCTACACCTTAGCATGGTTTTCAAATATGATGCTTTGTGGAAAGATTATTGGTTCTAATAGAATAACATCTAGATTATGGGTTTCAAAAGTGAATTGATAATTAATTTATAAGATTATGAAATGGAGACAAACACACCCAATTCTTTGGATACTCTCCGGGAAAGACCACTATTGGCATCAGGAAGTGGGGTGGCAATCACACTTTAATAAGGCACAGAGAGTATGGAGGCAAAAAGCCCATAAAGACAGAGACAAATGGCAAAAAGGATTACAGAGGCAGATGGTGTGGGGATGGGGGATGGAGCAGTGAAGGAGGTAGGCAATGTAGCAAAGAGGATGAGAGGAAAGAGGCTTTTAGATAGTATAGCTCATGTAATCATGGCTTAGAATTGGGATCACCAGGTAGTATGGACCTTGTGGAGATGGAAGAATACTGGGGGCAAGATTTTGAGGTCTCATTTTTATAGAGTTTTGGGGGGAAACAGACTAACTTCCATCTATACCACCTTGGGGTTAGTTCGTTAATGTATCAAAATTGTGTCAAAGTTATCAGTAAAATTTCTAAGTTGAATCTCAAAGCTATCAGCACCTCTTGATGTTTTGCTGGTCTGGAATTGTGGAGACCTGAAATATGTCTGAAATTTACATGTCATAAGGCCAAAAGGCCCTGACAGCAGTGATTCAGCACATATTATCAGAATGTGAATTTTTGTTAATATATGAAATAATTTATAAATTGTGCTTCTTTGATCTTTTGTATGAGACTTCCAGGTTCTTCTTGGCAATCTTATTTCTTGCTATTGCCCTTTTATACTGGCTACATATAGCCTTATTTATTATACTGACTGGGGGTGGTAGTGGTGGTGGTCAAGGGAACTAGAACAAGATACAATTTTAACACAAAAAGAAAAACAATAAAAGCCCAATCCAGAAACAAAAGTATCACGAAGATCTAAAGAAAGGTGGGTATGGTTTGCCCAAAATGTAATCCCACTTAAAACAAAATATTCCTTGGGTCTACTGGGGTTTTCATGAGTCACTCCCTATACTACCAAGCTTCTAGTTCTACATCCAGTTCTCCCCCACTCCCTTTATGCCACCACTTCTTAATAGAATGCTGAAAGATTTGTTTTTAATTAGTCTAATCTGAACCAGTGTAAAGAACAATAACCTATGTCGTTACAAATGTTTATCACCATTTCAGGTCTCTGCAGAAAACCTAACTGGTGTGTATCCAGCTGTGAGCACTCGGGTAGTTTATGATGGTGGTGTTTTTCTTGGACCCATATTTGGAGATATGTTGGTTACTCCCAACACATACCCACAGGTGAGAATGGAGGGGCTTCCTAAGGGGCTTTCTAATCTTTACTTGGCTGTTTCACTGTTTCTAAAATAGGCTATTTTAATTTATTTCTTAGAACCTCAGTTCTTCTATCATCAAAACAGGTCACTGATAATTCATTAATTTATTGATTCACAAATATGATTGTGCTCATACTCTTTGCAACACAGCATTAGGGAATATGGGATAAGAATACACAAAGGATGCAAAAAAGAATAAGACATGGTCCTTGTCTTCATGGAGTTTATAATTGAATGGATCAGATACATAAAACCCTACAGTATAAAAGACAGTGTAATTTACATATTACACAAGGAATTGTTTTATTTACTGTATTTGTAACCTACTGTCTAGCACAATATCTGTCTACTTAATAGATTTTTGTTGGTTGATTGAAAAAAATGCTATGGTAGTTTGGGAGAGTAAGAGATCATTTCTGTTGGGGGAAGTCAACGAAGCCATTTTTGAAGAGGTAGCATTTTGGCTGGGCCTTGAAATATGGCTAGGATTGTAATAGGTGAAGGTGGATGGGGATGGTGGGTTAGAACATTAGCAGAGCATTCTAGGCATAGAGAATAGTGTGAACAAAGGTATAGGGGTGGGAATATGTTTGTGGAATGACCTACAATCCAGTTTGGTTGAAGTGCAGGGGAAATATAGAGGGGAATAATCAATAAGCATTTATTCAGAGCTTACTATTTATTATGCCAAGCTCCGTGCTAGGTACTGGGGATTACAAATATAGGGAAAACAGTGGCTCCCTTCAAGGAATTTACATTCAAATGGGGGAGACATCACATAGGTAAAGAGGTACTTGTAAGATATAGAGTAAGTGGAAGGCAGTGGGGAAGATTCGAATAGTTTTGGGGAGGGTGGTCGGAGGGAAGCCTGGGAAAGACCTGCATACAGCGGGCACAGCTAGGTGGTACAGTGGATAGAGCACTGGCCATGAAATCAGGAGGACTGAGTTCAAATTTGGCCTCACACCAAACACTTGACACTTACTAGCTGTGTGACCCTGGGCAAGTCACTTAACCTCTGTCTGCCTCAGTGTCCTTATCTGTAAAATAGGGATAATAACAAATCTCACAGGGTTGTTGTGAGAGTCAAATGAAGTAATATTTGCAAAGAGTTTTGCAAACCATAAGGTGCTATATAAGTGCTAATTATTACTATTTTTGTTATGAAATATCCCAGGAGAGGAGACAGAATGGTTCTTCACCTTATGGGGCTGAACAATAGTAAGGTTCTTTACACCTAATACCTAGTATCCCGAGACATCTTGCTCTACAGCTATACAGATATATAATGAGAATAGTAAGAAGGAGACTGTTTGGTTGGGACTGTCCAGGAAACATCGGCTTCACATAAAAATGGTCCTGTAGCATCTGAATTGTACATACTGTGTTTGCTATGTCTTGTGTTTCTCCAGGTGACTGTGAGAGTCAGTGATATCCCTGCTCACTGTTTGGGTGCCTGCTCTTTCCAATACCATCAAGAATCAACCCCATTAGTTCAAGCTGTCTGGTACTCTTATGGTAGGACACTTTCAATTGAATCTTAGGGAAAATATGATCTAGACTCAAAAGGAGTTTCCTTGAGAGTATGGGTTTGGCTTGGGGAATAGGGAGGGCTGGGTGGTTTATGGCACATTTTTGTAGCTGTTCGGTCATCCCCGCCTCATCATGACCCCATTTGAACTCAGGTTTTCCTGACTCTAAGCCCAGCTCTCTATCCACTGTGCCACCTAGCTGCCCTTCTGGCAGGTAGCAGGTGCTTAATGGATGCCGAGAGATTGATTAATTAGAGATTGAAGCAAAGTGGAAAGTTTCTCTATTTATCTAAAACATTTCTGGTAAGAACTGTGAAGTGCAAGCAGTACTGGTGGATAGATCACTGGGCCTGAAGTCAGAAAGACTCATCTTTGTGAGTTCAAATAATTGGAGGTGGTTTGTTTGGTATATTTGCTTCATTTCTTCTGGCAGATGATGACACTGACCTGCTGGTGTGTATCAAGGGATCCGGTTTTCCTGGTGACTCTAAAGCTTTGAAAATCGAGGTGAATCAACAGGTCTGTGAAATCATGTTCTCAAACCAAACTTATGTGACCTGCCGGATGAACTTCTTACCAATTGGAGAGTATCAGGTGGTGATGCTGGTGAGGCACTTTGGCTTTGCACTCAATGTCAGTGGAGGAGAGGGCATCTACTTCAACATTAAACCCAAGCTGGAAGTGGTGGAACCTTCTGTAGCCCCAGAGATTGGTAAGTTTGGAGAAGAAATAAGAATCCACTTGATTCCCTGAAACTGATATTCAGACCACAGGGTTTTGGGACTGTTCTGAGAGAACTAGCAGGCGTTGGCAAATGCTTTCGAATATCCTAATGTCTGCTGTGGTTTGCAACTTTTAATTTCCTAATATCAGCATTTCCTCTAATGAATTTTACCTCACATGGTCAATGTCTGTTGAATAAATGAATGTGTAAATGAACAGCAAACATTTGGACCCATAGACACATCTTTGTAGGACTTGTTAAATGTTCTTCTGTTTCGGGCTCCTACTCAGACTGGCATTCAAGACTTTCCAAATGATCTGTCACTAAGCTGGCTTTCCAGATTTGTTTTAAGTTATTTCCCTCCACATATACATGCTCTAGGCAAATGAGGATTATTCTCCCCTCCCCCATCCCTAATTAGCAGCTAGGTGGTTCAGTGGATAGAGTGATGGGCCTGGAGTCAGGAAGACTCTTCTCTGTGAGTGCAAAGCTGGCCTTAGACACATACTAGCTGTGAGACCTGGGCAAGTCACTTAACCTTGTTTGCCACAGTTTCTCATCTGTAAAATGAGCTGGAGAAGGAAATGGCAAACTGCTCCAGTATCTTTGCCAAGGAAGCTCCAAATGGGGTCACAGAGAGGCAGACGCGACTGAAAAATGACTATGTCCTTAGCTCCTTACCTTATACATATAAGGCTTTCTACCTCCAAGTTTTTGTCCAGGCCTTTCCTGTGTTTGGATTTTTCTTACCTTCTGTCCACTCCTCCAATTCTGCCTCTTTCAGTCCTACCCACTCGTCAAAATGCAGAACCATTGTCACTTTCTTCATGAAACCTCCAATCAAGGTTTCATGAAGTAAGAAGGCCAGTCAGAGAGTGAATGAAATGGAGTAATGTGAAAAAAGGCTAGAAGGATAGATTGGAACCAGGCTGTAAAGGGTTTTAATGTCTTATGGAGGAATCTATATTTATTCCTAGAGGTAAGAGTAAGCCATTATAGTTTAAGTAGGGAGGGGAGGAAGGGTAACAAAAATCTGTGCTTTTTTTTTTTTTAGGCAATTGGGGTTAAGTGACTTGCCCAGGTCACACAGCTAGTAAGTGTCATGTGTTTGGTCTGAGGCCAAATTTGAACTCAGGTCCTCCTGACTGCAGGGCTGGTGCTCTATCCACTGCACCACCTAGCTGCCTCCAAGATCTGTGCTTTGGGACCATCAATTTAGCAACTATATGGAGGACATTTTGGAGAGGGAAGATATCTGAGGTAGAAAGCCCAATTAGGAGGTGATCGCAATAGCGTAGGTGAGAAGTGATGAGGACTTGATTTAGGCTGATGATTTAGGTCATATGAGAAGAGCCAGGGTATGGATGTTGAAAGTCACTGTGGAAGGAGAAATTACAAAGATAGGCAACCGATTGAATATGGGCTCCATTGCTGATATATGGTTCCAATGAATCATCTGGTCATGAATGATTTTCCTTTTCTTGATCTCAAATAGTAGCATTTTATTTGAGCCTCTCCTATGCCCTTATATTTGACTTTGGAGGTATTTGTGGATATATTCTATTCTTCCTATTATGTATGGAATAATGTGCACAGAACTGACTTCTCTGAGTAATTTGAGACACAAAGATCAATAAGACATGGCCCCCTGCCCTCTTGGGGCCACCACAAGACACCACCCTGCCTTATTTATCTTTGTATCCATCAGGGTTATTAACTCAGTGCTATGAACACTGTAAGCACTAAATAAATAATGTTCATTGTAGAACAATATCAGGCAGTATCATCATAGCTTGTCAAGATGATGTGATCTATTGGGAAGATCCTGGAAGTAGCATTCACAGGTCTTGGATACAGTAAAAAACAAAAACAAAAACAAAAACAAAACCCCAAAAAAACAACCAACCAAACAAACAAAAAAACTACTGAGCCCCAAGTCAGGAGGCCAGGGCTTGAATCTAGCTGAGTGCCCTTGGGTAAGTCGTACACTTCTATCTGCCTAGGTGTCATTGTTAGACCGTACAAATCCACTTTTCAACTGCTTGTTGAATTGGGGTAGTGCAAAGAAAACTGGATTTAAAGAGAGAAGATCTGTATTCAAATACTGCATGGTCTTGGGAAAATCACTTTACTTTTCTGGGACTCAGTTTCCTCATATGTTAAATGAAGGGTTGGACTAAGTAACTTTTAAGGTCACTCCCAGCCCTAAATCTTATGACTCTGTTTTTCGTTATTATTAGCCAAAAAGACCTACCACCTGAAATTACAAAAACAAGAATAGAAGAGAGCCCAACTTCTTTCTGACACAACTTTGCCCAAAAGACATGCCCTTCCTCAGCCTTGTTGCATCTTTTCTGCATCTAAGACAGAACATATGCTCCCTGTTCTTATCTACTTAATAGGAATATCATGAGGAAGAAACGAGATACTATTGCTCAGAATGGAACATGATACAGTATATAAATCAAGTATTTGATTATTATATTTATGCAGGGCCCTTCCTTTTTCCTTCTTTCTTCCCTTCCCTCCCCTTCCCTCTCCTTCCCTTCCCTTCCCTTCCCTCCCTCCCCTTCCCTCCCCTCCTTTCGTCTCCCCTCCCCTCCTCTCCTCTCTTTTCCCATTCCTTCCTTCCTGCCTGCCTGCCTGCCTTCCTGCCTTCCTGCCTTCCCTCACCTCCCATTCTTCTTTCTCTCTTTCCTTTCCTCATTTCCCATCATTTTTCATTCCTCCCCAACCTCTCTTCTTCCCTCCTTTCTCCTTCCTAATTTAGAAATCACCCTCTCTTTCATTCCACACTTTGAATCAGTTGCCAAATGCTCAGCCACATGCCTCCCATATGTCCTCTTCCTATCTACTCTCACAGCCATTGCTCTAATTTTGATTCTTACCACCATAGTTCTTTGATTCAAAGTTTCCCAGTCACAAACTCCCAAATACTGAAAATAGCCATATTCAAATTAGATGCTGGGAAACAATACATACCATCCATCTCTAATGTCACCCAGTTCTTTGCCTCTAAGCTGTTGTTCGCTCTTAGAATATGTATCTGAGGTGCTGCTTTTCTGTTAAAGTGGGTTTTAAAATTTTTTTTACACAGTCTCTTTATCCTTATGCTGATTTTTTCTGTTTCATTCAAAATGTTTATTTTCTTTCCCTTTCAGCAAATAAAATGTCCATATAAAAAGGGGGGGGGACAGTACCTTATATGTACAAGGCACTGTGATAGGTTGATAGGGTAAAAAGATGAAAATGATGCATCTTGTCCTCAATCAGCTTATAATCTAAAGAGGAGAGGGGAAAGACTATGAGTCACAAATACACAAATAAATATTACACAAGGCAGAATCTGACAGGAGGCAAAGGAAAGATCTAGACAAAGTGCTTTGGAAATATTTGAAAAGGAAGAAACTTCTTTTAGCTGGTAGGTTGGGATCACAGGAGGCATCATAGAGGAAGTAACATCTGAGCTGAACTCTGTAAGAAATGGACTTCAGTAATCAGGGGTAAAGAGGGAAATGATGTGTTTCATGGAGGCGGGAGGGCATACAGATGAACTGACGGGAGTCCAGTTTTGATAGAAGGCAGTACATGGAGTAAAAGAAAGTTGGAAGGGTAGTTTGGAGGCAGATTGTGAGAACTTTAAATGGCAGGTTGAGGAGTTGGTGTTTTATCCAGAAGGCATGAGGGAGTCATTGAAGGTTTTTGAGAGAAGGAAAGTTTCAGAGGTCCTAGAACTAGTCTTTGAAGGCTGATCTTGAATAGATAGAAAAGGGAAATAAGAGAAAGTTCGAGTATTTAAAAAAAAGTTACTGCTTTAAAAAAAACACAACTAACTTTATATGAGCTTAATTTCTTAATTTATCCTTCCTCTTCTTTCTTCCAGGGAGGATTTTAATAGTTATTTATCATTTTTTTCAGATAATAGCTTATATTCCTTTGATACTTCAGTCACTTGGTGATATATCTCATCAGTGGGGACAATCCGTCCGTTGTACCATCTCTCTCTCATAGGAAGATTTTGACATTTAAGTTAAATCCTTTCTGTGGCAGTTTTAACATTTTCTGGGATTCTGATGAGTGCCAATTTTTCCATGTTTCATTCCTTTCCTATATCTCGGGCACCACTTGATCTCTACCTGACTGTTTAGCTGATGATATCACTGATGTTACAGGAGGATTTTGGGCCACTATCCAAGGGACCAGTTTGGAAGAAGTAAGCCTGGTATTATTTGGGTCTCAACCTTGTCCCATCAACATCTCCTCCAGGAACATGGAAAGAATCCAGTGCAAAGTCCCTCCCTGGGTAAGCAGAGTCCTTTAGCATCTCCTTTTGTTATCATTCACTATCACTTTACATTTAAGGCAGTAATAGAGATGATTGCATAAACTGTTTCCTGAGTCCTAGCAACTATCTTCTATCTAAACCTTAGATGTTCTGTGACAGACTAAGGATGAAATAAGGGTTAATAAATGCTTATTGTGGGCAGCTAGGTGGCATAGTGGATAGAGCACTGGCCCTGAAATCAGGAGGACCTGAGTTCAAATCCAGCCTCAAACACTTACTAGCTGTGTGACCCTGAGCAAGTCACTTAACCTTTATTGCCTCCCCAAAAAACACAAACAAAATGCTTATTGATTGATTGACAGATTGAGCGTTCTGATGGTCCCTACCCTATTCATATCCTTCATTTATTGTTTCATTATTCATTATGTGAATAATATGAAAGGGATACTTATAAACTCTCTTGCTTTTTAGGACGTTGCAAATGATTATCAAAATAGGTTTTATGCCACTGCCTCTTTACTTTTCCACTTACTGCACTACTCAGTGATCCCTTCTATGCAGAAATAGTGAGTGTTGGGGGCAGCTAGGTGGTACAGTGGATAGAGCACCGGCCCTGAAGTCAGGAATACCTGAGTTCAAATCCAACCTCAGACCAAACACTTGACGCTTACTAGCTGTGTGACCCTGGGCAAGTCACTTAACCCCAATTGCCTAAAGAAAAAAAAGAAATAGTGAGTGTCACATCACTTCATTGGGGACAGTTCCAAAGAGAATCCATTACATAGATATTTAAGGGTTCTGATCCAAGAGATCAGTTTCTATAGGATCACGAACTAGAGCTGATAGGGATCTCAGAAGCTGTATAATATGACTCTTTGGTTTTACAGATGAGGAAATAGATGAGAGAAATTCCTCATTTAGACCTAACTGTAAAAATCATGGATAGGGCTGTGATGAAGATTGGTATCCTGATGGCAAAGAAAGAGAACAAATATCAACCAACAAGCATTTATTTAAATGAATACTACTATGGGCCAACACTCTGGTAGGTGCTGACAATGCAAATACAAAGAATGAAATGACCCCCACTCACAAGGCACTTACATTTTAACAAGGACATGTATATGTATGAAAGAAAGTGGAGAAAGCATCAAGAAGAGATTTCTCTTGGTATCCCAAAATTATGTGCTGTGAATTATTTGGGTCATAGACTGATCATGACCAAGTATGAATTTGCATTTATTTGTCACATGACTGGAAAAAATGTGTACCAACAACAAAGAAGCATCATCACGTCTATTTTTGAAGATCTCCTACATCAGCAAAGTTAAATGAGTTGTCCAAGATCATACACTGCAGTCTGCAGCAAAGGCAGGATTTAAACTCAGAATGCAAGGTGAATTTGACTTTTTCTTGCTTTGTTTATTAATTCATATCTTGCTTTTAAACGGGAGGTCCTAAAAGCTTTCTTCTGGTCCAATATCATCTTTTCATAATTGATCTGTGTGACTTTGGGTAAGTCACTTAACAGCTGGTTGCCTCCATTTCCCCAACTGTAAAATGGGGATAATAACAGCACCTACTGGTTGTTGTGAGGATCAAATGAGATATTTATAAAGCACTTAAAATAGTACTTGACACATAGTAGGTACTATTTAATATTCATTCTCTTCCTCCCTCTTTTCCCATCTAGACCAACAATTTTATGGAGGAGGAAACTGAGGCTTAGAATGATTAGGTAACCGTCCTAGGTCTCAATTTCCTAATCTGTGAAATGAGGGATCTGTGATTGTATGATCTGATGCATATAGCAGGTGCTGAATGACAGGTAAAAGGGCATAAGTTCATTGGTGAACTTTATGGTAGGTAGAGCCTTCTTATCAAGAGCTATAAAGATAAATTTAAAAAAATGTTTTTGTATATTAATATGTTGTGCATTAAGCATGATAGATGCTCTGAAACTTTCATACACTAGGTGGGAATGATCTAACCTCTTGGGTGGTTGAATTTCCTGATTTTAGTTAATCAATGGACTCTGTGATTATTATATAAGTTCCTAATGCCCATTCTTGATTATATGCCTTACCTCTCATCCATCCATCCATTAATTAAGATCTGCTACTTCTTTATAATTCAGTTACTAAGAGTCAGTCACAGGGTTAATATTTGTTGAAAGATAGAATTTGAACTCATTTTCCTTTCTGAAACATCATTCTATCTACCATGTCACAACTGCAAAGAACATCTTCCTCCTATCTCTCTGTCTCTCTCTTCCTTATGTCTCTCTACTTCTCTTGGAGATAGAAAATTAACAGATTATGGGCTGTATGCATCTTACATTCAGACCAATAGAATATGTAGCTGCAAATTTCTTTTGGTGGTGATTGTGGGATGCGTGCATGTGTGTGTGTGTGTGTGTGTGTATGGGGGAGGAACTGTCAGCTAGCATGCATTTATTAAGCACCTATAGTGTGCCAGACAGTGCTAAGCACTGTGGGTTGAAGACAAAAAATGTTCCCCTTAAGGAGTTCATATTCTAATAGTAGAGACAACATGCAAAAGATGTGTATATATAGGATATGTACATTGCAAAAGGAAGATATATATTGTAAGTGGAAGATATTCTCAGAGCAAAGGCACTAGCAAGTGAGGGGAGGAAGGGGACTGGAAATATCACGGTAGTATTATTTTTAAAAATCAACTATTTGTTTACAAGCTTAACATTTACAAAGCTCTGTTCTGGAGGCCTTACAGAATTAATTATATAGTCTCTGTCTGCCCTCTAAGAGTTTATAGTTTAATAAAGCTTTCTGCTCTCTTTCCACAGGAAATCATTTCAATTATATTTCTGAGCCATTAACTGGACCAACCTACATCTTAATATTATTTTGCTCTATTGTAAGGGCCTTCATGTGATATTTTATCCACTTCCCTGCTTTAAGTGAGGGCAAGCAGTTCCAAATAGATGAATCTCAACCTACTTAAAGAAAAATCTTGAATTAGCAAAAATGAAAGAAAAATAGAATTTTCTCATCTATTTTTTTTTCTTGAAAGTACAACAAAACCTTACCAACTAGTTCATTAATTTGGGATTTTGTGATAATTTTGAAAAGGCTAGCCAGAAGTTTACCTTAGCATTATCAATGAAGAAAAGGTTTGCTCTACAAATTAAGAGTAGAAACAAAGTTGCCCCAGGGAGTGTTTAAATTACTGTACTTTAGAGAATGGACAGTTTCAAGCATTCCCCAACACATTAATAGTCTCCATTTACATAAAAACAATTGATATGTTAATAACAAATCATTCTTATCTGTTCTTTAAAGCAGGTCCCCTAAGGATTTCTTCTAGGCCACATTAGGGTAGCTTAGTTCAATGACTATACATACAATATTTGAAACCAATTAGCATGTATTTCTTTAATTTTTTCCCCTGCAATTTACACTCTTTCCCTCCAAATCTGCTCCTCCTCCCCAGTTAAAGGTATTTAGTGAGGTTTGACAATATTTCATTTTTTAAGATTGGCTTTCAGGGGAATGATAGTGGAAGGCTTGTGAATGTGACCATCATCACCAGGAACCTGTCATTAGCTTATCCAGAGGCATTCGAGTATACTCCTTCTTTAAATCCAGTTATCGTTTCCCTGAGCAGAAATAGAAGCAACACAGCAGGTAAGGATAAATGGCACTCTAAAAATTTTCTCTTGATAGAGCCTTGGTCCAGGCAAAAGGCAAGAGATGAGTCTCTGGTGAATTGTAACGAAGACAGAAAAACACAGGGAACAGGAGCTTACCTGGAAATCAGGAGACCTGGTTTCTCAGCCCAGCTGTGCTATTAACTCAGTATTTGACCTTGGGAATCTTGGAGTCAGTTTTTCTCTCAGTAAAATGAAGCTCAGCCATCACCCTCATGATGTCATTGATCCTCTTCTGGGATGAACAACAGCATGAAGCTATTGTCATGTACTCCTACCTTCATAAGTGGGTACTGCAGGGGTAGGTTGGGTTAGGAATTGTGCTTGTGATTTCACTGATAGAGGGAACTTCCCAGGTAAAGAAATTCACCCTGCCAATGCAGGTCTGTATCTCCTCATTTTAGAAAGTTGCCTAGAGAACTGAGAGGTGCCCAGGGCCACAAAGCTAATATGTGTCAGAGGTGAGACTTGAACCCAGGTCCTTCTGGCTCTGAGCCTAGCATTCCACTAATATGCATACTGCTTTTATATTGTGAGAATACTGCTGATAAAAACTATGTGACACAAGGACATCATTAATTATATCATGTGATCACAGGATGTAGAGACGGATGGAACCTTAGAGATCCACAGTCCAACCCCTGCATCCTATAGATGAAGAAGCTGAGGCTCTGAGAGATTGTAACTTGCCTATGATCAGTCATATAGTAAACAACTGTGAGAAGAAATTCAAACCTAGAGTTTGACTACAAATTATACCAGACTGTGTTGTTGTTAAATTATTTTTGGTTGTGTCCTATCCTTCATTACCTCATTTAGGGTTTTCCTGGAAAAGATACCAGAGTGATTTGCTGCTTCCTTCTCCAGCTCATTTTACAGTTGAGGAAACTGAGGCAAACAGGGTTAAGTGACTTGCCCAGGGTCACCCAGGTAGTAAGTATCTGAGGCCAGATTTGAACTCAGGAAGATGAGTCTTCCTGACTTCTGGCAGTCTTCCCCCTGTGCCACTTAGAAGTGCCTCAAAGGCATTATTACAAACATTAATTACCATTGTGCATTAAATCATCCATTTAATAATCATTTATTAAGCGCCCACTATGAGAAAAGCTCTGCTGAAGTTCTATTTTGATACTAAATACGGGTTCCCTGACTTCATGAAATTTACAATCTAATGTGTATAAGGGGCATTTAGTACAAACACGAATATGCAATACCTGTAATAAATATTAAATTCCTATGCAGTGCCTATAATGCAGAATTGAAGATGATGAGAACATGAGGATTCCGAAATACTATAGAAGATCTAAAGAAGGAAAGATAATTTCCATCTGGGGTGGTGGTAGTTCAGGGCACTTCATGGAGGTGGTAGCTTCTGAGTGGAGCATGAAGGATGGTTAGAATTTCAAAGGGCAGGGATGGTGGGGATGAGCGTAGTGAGAGTGGTAAGGGAGGGAATGACATTCAAGGGAGAGCAAAGGCTCTGAGGTAGGAAAATGGTGGGGATTTGCAGTGTAATGAATAGCCCAGTTTGCCTGGGACGGAGTGTACACTGAAGGGAGTACAGTTATCCCTTTCACATTGCAACTTTCCCCATCATGGTTTTGATATATTGCGGTTGGCATAAGAAATTAAATGGAAATTTGGGGGGAGTTTGGAGGACAGTACGAGAAGACCAGCAGATGACACAGAAAAAGTTTAGCATCTCAGATATGCATAAAATATTTATATAGTATTGTATAACATCAACACATTTTATCTTTTAATACTATAATAATTCAGACTTCTCTGCTACTAAGGGACAGCCAAAATTTTTTATGCAGATTTTCCATCTCGGAGGTGGTGCTGGCCCCTTTACCTCCTTGCGATGTGGAAGGGATAACTGTAGTTTGAAATAAGGCTGAAAAATTAGGGAAATGACAGAGTGTAGAGGCCTTGAATGCCAAGGAAAGGAGTTTGAGTATTTTGGGGGAGGTAAAAGAGAACAGAGCAGTGAGAACAAGGGATGTAAATGTGGCCAACTGCCATCTAACAAGCCCAGACAAACAGAGTGTTACTATATATAAATCTAAGTTATTATGGAAGACCAACCCTTTTCCCTAAGACAACCCAGTTCTTTCTCTGGTCTTTTTAAATTTTTCAGTGCATAAATAAAAGGAAGTGTCCTTTAGCTTTTCAATATTATTCAGATGGTATAATGCAAACTAAGAATCTGCTGCCTCTGACAACCAAAGTGGGTGGAATTCCTCTGTGGTACAGACTCTTCAGAATGAGAGAGAGAGAGGGATGAGGAAGTCACTCCTCTCTGTTCTGTCCTGGGCTCACTGACTCTGGTTGGCTTTTAATAAAATTTCTGTCCTATAATGAAAAGTATAAATATATCATATCAGTGCCTTACAGGCATCTAGGAATAAGTTGACAATTGACCAGAAGTCCAAAGAATTCATGTGATTAACATATACAGCGTGATGTGTTTTTTTCAAAGCTTAAAACTTCTATTTGAATTTTTCTGTGTTCTGGATAGGAAAACGTATATGGGAAAATTCACAAAAGGTGATATTTTACAAGATGAATCACTTTGGGTCTGATGAGTAGGGGAGAGGAAGAGGGAAATGGAGGATTATATGAGGCCAAAAGGAATCCTTCTTGTTAGAGGAAGACAATAAGAATAAATAACATGTAGAACACCCATATAATCTGTTGTTCTCATACCTGGGCTATTATAGTAGCCTTCTATGTGCTCCCAGGCTTTTCCCTTTCCAAGCTGTCCATCACAGACGCCAGATTTTTCTTCTTATAGCACATTTTTATCCAAGGCTCTGCAGCATGGTGTATTGGGGTAAGTGTAAGAACTGGAATCAGCAGATAGGTCAAATCCTACCTCTGACACAGACTACCCTTGTGACCTCAGGCAAATCACTCAGCTTCTATTCCAGGTTTCTTCATCTGCAAAATGGGGATAAGTAATTCCTGTACCACCTTTATAATAGGGTTACTGTGAGCAAAGTGCTTCAGAAACCTTAAGCACTATATAATAAGAATAGCTAAAATGTATATGGTGTTTTAAGGTTTTCGAAATGTCTTGAAATATTATAAATTGTCTTGAAATATAAAATGTCTTAAATATTATAATTATATTATTATTATAATCTATATATTTTCTAATTTGATTTATCAGTCTGCCTCTCTGTCTGTCCATCCATCCATTCATCCATCTATGTCTATCATGTCTGTCTATCTGTCTACCTACCTGTATGTCTGTCTCTTTATCTGTCTGTCTATCTGTCTATCTACCTTTATGACTATCTATCTATCTATCTATCTATCTATCTATCTATCTATCTATCTATCTATCTATCTAACTATATGTCTGTCTGTCTGTCTAGTTATCATTACTATGAACTAAGGTCTCAACCTTAGGTCACAACACCCCAGGATTCAATTTCTCTACCTTTTAAAAAAAAGGAGGAGGAGTTGAACTAGATCATGTTTAGGGTCCCTTCTGCCTTTAACACTTTATGTTTCTGTAATCTTAAAGTTATACTATTGTTTGAAAACTTGAATTACTTACTGGCACTAACAGCTAAATCCCATATTTCTTCACTTGGCATTCAAGACCCCTCAAGAATTGGTCTCAACTTACTTTTCTAGTTTCATCTTAATCCTGTCAAACTAGCATCTGCATTTCCTACCTGCCTGTCTCATTTTCTCATCACCCCAGCCTTTCCAAAATAGTTTTCTTGTTTCTTTCTTTTTGCTCATGCTCTTACATCTCTCTGGAATGCTCTTTCCTCTTAGCAACCTGCTGCACAGTACCTATTTATTCTTCAAGGCCCAGCTTAAATCAAAGTTGCATATTTTCAAACCCAACAAATTAAAGACCATAACATGTGGTTTTTCATAGGCATAAATAAGTGCTGGAAGGAATTAGAGGGTTTTAGGCCATGTATCCCAAATTGTGCTTCTTAATAGATGCCTCTCATTTCAGGAGATCAGAGACTTTTCATTGGAACTACATCTCTGGTGAATTATACAGACCTGGATGTGAAAGTCCGTATTCAGGACACCTTGACTCAGATCCTAAAGCAGGGACCTCAGGGTCTGGAGGTTGCACTGCCACCCTTGCCAACAGGGTGGCACAGCATTTCAGTCACAATGAATGGTGTCAACATCAGATCAGAGGGGTAAGGTCAAATGCATGTTGGTAAATGTTTAACAGGAGGCTCTTCCTCAAAAAAAAAATGAAAGATATACTTTAAAATTTAATCTATCATTAAAATTTTCTTAATCATTTTCTAAGGTTCAGACAATCAACAAAACAATAAATAAAACCTACTTTGTAGCCTTTCCTGGTTTCTGAGGTGTAAAAGTTCACACTGAAAATTTAACAATTGGCTCTGAAAAGCCTGTACGAGCTGACTTCAGGATGCCACTGGAAGATGGAAACTTCCCATTCTGAAGTGTGGGTGTGGTTGAGCAAGCTTACATGGGTACCCTGATGCAAAGGCATTGCTGGAAAGGCCTTAGAGGTCATCATAGAGTCATAGATTTGGGTCTAGAAGGGACCTTGTATGTCATCTTGTCACTCCCTCAACCCCTGCAACTTTACTCCTATTTTTCATACGAGGAAAATGAAATTGAGGCCTAGAGTTTAAGTGACTTGTCCTAGGTGATACAGGTAAGACGGCAGAGCTCCTAGATCATCTGACTCCAAATGAATCCATCTTCCCATGTCTAGTCCAACTGCCTATGAAATATCTTTCTTCACTAGGGTTGATCTTCAAATCCAGTATATTACCAAAGTCTTTCAGATTGAGCCTTGCTGTGGGTCCCTTCTGGGTAAGTGTCTCTTAGACCAGGTTTGTTGTTGTTGTTGTTATTATTGTTATTGTTGAGGCAATGGGGTTAAGTGACTTGCCCAAGATCATATAGCTATTAAGTGTCTGAGGCCTGATTCGAACTCAGGTTCTTCTGACTTCAGGACTGTTGATCTATCCACTGCAGCACCTAGCTGCCCCTAGGCTAGGGTTTCTTAACCTGTGGTCTGTGAACTTAAAAAAAAAACCTTTTGTAATTCTCTATAGCTGATTTCTTTTAAGATCCTCTTATTTTATTCATTTAAAAGTGTTATTCTTAGAAGAGGTCCATGGGCTTCACCAGACTGCCAAGGGGGTCCGTGACCCAAAAAACGTTATAAACCCCTGCTGTAGAGCTGCAGTCAGGAGATTAGGGTCATCTCTCCCCTGGCACTGACATTCAGTTTTATGATCGTTGAACCAGTTGGACTTTTTAATTTGCCTCCTGTGAGGCACACACTCCGTACCCAGTAGGGACTGTTATATTCTTCGTCTTTATTTCTCCAGCACCTAGTACAGGGTCTGCCACGTAGTAGGCAGGCACTTAGTAAATGCTTATTGATTGATTGTTTGTAGACATGCATCAAGTTAATGAGCAAAATTAACTTAAGGGTTTTTATAAAAAGGGAAGTTCTTGGGTTTCTTTTTCCTTAATGAAAAAAAAAGTGGAATAATCTAATGTGTAAGCTTCTTGAAGGGATATTAGAAAAAACTCAGGAAGGATTCCATTTAGGCAGAGAAAGCACATGCAACCCACAAAAGAGCAAGGGGACCCCACTATGCCTAGATCATATATTTAGAGTTGGAAGGGATCTGATCAGGCATCTAGTTCCCTCATCAAATGGCTGAGAAACCTGAGGCCCGGTGGAGAAAAGTGACTTGCCCAAAGCTATAGCCAGGAATTGAATCCAAGGCTTGGACATCCAAATTCAGCATTTTTTCTCCTAGATCACACTGTGCCTCTACTCTTCTCTCAGGATACAGATACTTGGCCTAGAAGTATAAGGAAGAAGATGGTAAAGTTATACAAGTGAACATATTTTTGAACCTACTGCTTTTCAGCAAGAACAGAGAAAGCTATATGCCTCTGAGAATTCACTGCACATTAAAAGTAATAGTAGTAATCATAGATAACATTTATATGGAGTCTTAAGCTTTAAGCACTTTAATATGTTCATATGTATTTGATCTTCACAGCAACCTTGTGAAGCAGGTGCTTTCATTATCCCCTTATCTCAGTTTTGCCAATCAGGAAAATGAGGTTTAGAGAGGGTTGGGGAATTTCTCAGGATTGCACACTAGTAAGTGTCTGAGAAAGGATTCAAACTCAGGTCTTCCTGACTTGACCAGAGTCACATACTTGCAAGTTTCTGAGGCAGGATTTGAACTCAGATCTTCCAGACTTCCTTAAGGGCTGTTAGGTGATGCAGTGGATAGAATGCTGGGTCTGAAATCAGGAAGAGTCATCTTCCTGAGTTCAAATCTGACCTCAGACACTTCCTAGCTGTGTGACCCTGGGCAAATCACTTAACTCCATTTGCCTCAGTTCCTCCTTTGTAAAATGAGCTAGAGAAGGAAATGGAAAACCTCCAGTCTTTTTGCCAAGAAAATCTCAAATGGGGTCATGAAGAGTTGGACATGACTGAAACAACTGAACAATTTCCGGACCCCAAGTCCAGCATTTCATCTACTGTGCCACTATTAGCTACAATGTGACCTTTTTCTTCGTAAGTTGGAAAACCCTATTATAAAGCACCTCACTATACTATTGGGTCAAATAGGATCATCAGTATACAGTCAGAAGGGATTTCAGAGGCCACCTAATCCAATCAGCTCTTTTTATAGATGAGGAAATAGGGCACAGGGAGTTTAAGTGATTTGCTAAGCTCATACAAGTAGTAAGGGTAGGATTTGAATGCAGGACCTCTAATTTTAGAAACAGGGCTCTTTCCTCTGTACCACACTGCCTTCTTTTACTATGATTCTAATCTTCCTCATGTATACAGTGATTTATAGGGAATTTTCTTGCTTGAATTCAGCCTCTGAGATAGCTGTTGTATCTCTTGACAACATTATGAGATTTGACTACTCCTCTAATTATATTTTGGTCTGTGAAGAGTAGAGGGTGGGAGCATGGCAGAAAGGACAGATATATTTTGTGTGTTTTTATATATAGAGCCTTCATTAGGTATTTGTCAAATCAACAAGCTAAGTTACCAAGCATTTATTAAATGCTTGCTTTCTACCAGGTACTGTGCTCAGTGCTGGGAATACAAGTACAAACAAAACAAAACAAAAAAGAAACAAAACCCCCAAACAGATAGTTTCTACCTTCGAAGAGGTTACATTCTAAAGCAGGAAGACTATAATAAAAGGGAGCTAAGAAGGTAGAAGAGGGAGAATGAAGCTCAGAGACTCAGGAGCAGAGCTAGAAGAAGAGTCCAGTAGTAAACATGTCTGGCTTGGGGAAAGCCACATGCTTTTACAAATAGATGAAAATGATTTGTAATTCCAATATCAGCAGTATGGAAGTGGATATTTCTAAGGCATGTAAAAGTACCTGAGAAATTTACCCTCCTAAGTATTTTAAGGCAGCCTGAAACATTAGCTGGTGGATCTGTTTAGAGGCAAGAAATCCTGGGCTCAGATTTTGCCTCTGACACTCACTAGCTGTGTGACCCTGGGCATATGCTTTAACTTTGAGACAGACAACTATCTAGACCAAAAGGTACTGATGAGCTGATGATCTGTGTCAGTGGAGAGAGTTTCTACACCAAGAGGTACAATCACAGGTTTGCCTCTAAATACTTTAAACCTAAAGTGTAATTTAATGACTTTTTTTTATTATACTTAATGAATTTTTTGCCCTGTTTTATTACTTCGCTGGTTTAGACACTGGTCTAGATTGCCTAGTTGCAAATATCTGTTATTTCTGACTTGGTTCTCAATTTCCATTCCTTTAGGTGGAACCACCCTTACTATCTCTGGAATTGGCTTCAGCAAGGATCCCTCTCTAGTTTCAGTATCATTGGGCAACCAGACCTGTAGCATTGTGAACTCAACTGAAGAGACCATCTGGTGTGAGACTTCATCAGCCCCTTACTTGCCTGATACAGAGCCTCAAGCTGTCATGGTTCCCATAGAAGTCTCAATTGGCAATATCCATGCGCCCCATGATCCCTCATTTGACTTGGGAAAGAAAGACTTTACCTTTACCTACCATACAGCTTTAACTCCTTTTGTGACTGCCATGCAAGGTCAAATCAGAGGTGACATTCTGGAGCTACAAGTGGAAGGAGATAACATATCTAAATCAATTATCCTTCTGGGGGACATGAAATGTAACCTTGAGCTACAATCCTTCAGTTTCAATAGAACTCAGTATTTCTGTTCCTTACCGCTAGCAAATGTTGAAGCTGGGATGTATCCCATCCAGGTTTTCCAGAAGGATATGGGATTTGCAAATATGTCTGCTGTGCCCCACAGTTTTACAGTGTCTCCCCAGGTTACTAACATCTTTCCCACCCATGGATCAGTGTGTGGAGGGACATTGCTTACTATAGTAGGCTTGGTTTTCAAGTCCAGAATGAGTGTAGTGCAGGTTGACCTCTCTGGCCCTCATACTTGCGCCATCTGGAACTGGAATGACCGCATGATCCTCTGCCAGGTTAGCCTTGTGGGACATCTCCCTAAAGCATCACGTGGCCTGAATGTCACAATCACTGTTAATGGGATAATCAGTAAGTGCCAAGGAAACTGTACATTCTATCTGCAAGAAGAGGCAACCCCCATTATGGACACATTGACCACCAGTGTCAGTGGGACTTTGACCACCATATTAATTGGTGGGCAAAAGTTAGCCACAGACACTGATGAACTGGTTGTTTTGGTTGATGACCATCTTTCTTGTGATATAACCTTCTATAATGCAACTCACGTGGAATGTCAGCTGAGTGGCTTGGACCCTGGTCTACATCACTTCTCTCTTCTGAATAAGAGAAAAGGCTTTGCTTGCCAACACACCATACCTCCATATTTCACTGTCACTCCGCAAGTGCTTGGATATCACCCTCAGAATTTCAGTGTCAATGGTGGAGGCCTCTTGACCATAGAAGGCACAACACTGAGAGGAAAGCACACAACTTCAGTCCTGGTAGGGCACCAACCCTGCCTCACTGTGAATATTAGCTCTCTGTTCATCCAGTGTATCATTCCCCCAGGCAATGGGACACTTGTCCTGGAAATTGAAGTTGATGGGAACTTATATGATGTGGGGATGATTGGTTATAGTGATGCCTTCACCCCAGCATTACTTTTCATTCTTCAAACCGATGGTTTGATTATAACCTTCCTTGTGGACCGAACCACTGGTGCTAAGAACATGCAGATCTTTATCGGGACATCACCATGTGTAGGCATCTTGGGTAACCACACAGTTTTACAATGCTCAGTTTCTCAGCTTCCTGCTGGGCAATATCAAGTCAAAGGCCATGACCGTCTTCGAGGCTGGGCTTCATCGACATTGGTGTTCACCTCTAAAGTTACCATTACGTCAATCTATAGTAACTTTGGTAAGTCAAGTAAATACCATAAAACTATCTCTGTGAGTGGGTTAACCACCATAGCGGAAGTTAAATGATTTCTATGTGTAGTTTCCAATGGGTAGAAAATTAACATCAATCTGAAAGATGAGAGGAGAGGGAGATGGGAAGATTGAAAAGTGATTGGGTTTGTTATTTGCCCAATTTCTTCCAGAGAGTTCTCTTTGTGATGTTGAATTTATGACTATCTTTGATTGGTTTTTTATAGAAGGGACTGCATTTTTAGAGTGCATGCTCTATAAACATGTGATTGTATTTTAATTTCCCAAATTAATCTGATTTAATTTCTTTAAAAAAAAACCAAAGTACTGTAATTTACAGGAACTCATTACTTCATTATTTAGATAGACTATAATAACTTATACCCATTTCCCCCCTCAGTATCATGTAATGTGTATGACTATATTTTATATACATTAAATAAAATAATGTTCTCATTATATAATATTTATTTCAATTCCACAATGTGGAAGAAGATGAGATTCTCCAGAAGACCAAATTGCTATAGTTTCTATTGTGTTGGATATACATTCCCCCTTCATCTCAGCTTAGTTATTCTGAAATACCCTCTTCATTGCTTTGCCATTTTAGTTTTGGGTTCTTCTATTCTCTGGTAGTCTAAAAGATGCTTACTTTAAACAGGATACAAAGGCTTTTTAAAATGATTGAGAAGATACAGAGTATAGTTGTGGCTGAAGAAGAGAATTGTAATACCTTAAAGCCTGAACAGAGCCATTTCTTATACACACACAACTATGGTAGTATGGAATGTTGCCAATTCCAGTCGAGCTTTTGCCTCTGATTAGCTGTAGCTTAACCTTTTTAGGTCTTAAGTTCCTTAACTGTCAAATGAGGGACTTAACACTCTCTCTGGTCTTTCTAGTTCCAATATTCTTTGGTTTCGTGTTGGCAGAATAATTGTTGTCATTTTTTTCCAGTTGTGTGAAACTCTTTGAGACCCTATTTAGGGTTTTCTTTGTAGAGATACTGCGGTGGTTTGTCATTTTCTTCTCTAGCTCATTTTACAGATGAGGAAACTGAGGCAAACAGGGTGAAATGACTTGCCCAGGATCACACAACTAGTAAGTGTCTGAGGCCAGATTTGAACTCAGGAAGATGAGTCTTCCTGATTCCAGGCCTGGCACGCTATCCATTTTGCCACCTAGCTGCCTAGTGTTTTGCTATTTCCTTCTCTAGTGCATTAAAGCAAACCAAGGTTAAATGACTTGTCCAGAGTCACATAGCTAGTAAGTGTCTGAGGCCAAATTTGAACTCCTTATTCTAGGCCTCTCATTCTATCCGTTGAGTCACTAAACTGTAGAACAGAGGATATGAAATGGAATTTTCTGTCACCAACATTGTGAAATAATGAGAAAAATACTGGATTTAGGATCAGAGGACCTGAGTTTGAATTCTAGCTCTGTTACTTATTGCTGTGTGACCTTAGGTAAGACAATGGGCCTTTCAGAGAGCCTAGAATTAATGGGTTGCTGTGGGTTTCTCAGTGAGTCTATTGGAAGAAAGCTATATATTGAGAAAGCAATGGTTTGGGTTTTAACTTATATCAGGAAAAAGAGATGCGATCATATGATAGTAGCCTTGGCTTTTGACTATGTGTAAATCTTCTCTCTAAAGGCTGTCTGGGTGGAAGAGTACTGCATGTACATGGAAGTGGATTTTCTCCAGGGAACATATCTGCTGCTGTCTGCGGTGTCCCCTGCCAAATCTTAGACAATGCTACAATGACCACCTTCAGCTGCCTGGTGCTGCCGCTGGATGGTTAGTTAAAATGAAATATTTCATATATATGTAGTGCTGGGATTATTGAGGAGTAATGTGGTATAATTGAAAGAGTCCTTCCCCGCTCCTTCTCCCCCTCCCCACAAGAGAGTAGTGTAAAATTAAAGTGAATGAAAATATTTAATATGTAACAGTAAGCTTTAAAAGGGAGTTCTGCTATTATTGTTTTATATCTCAGTGTAAAAACTAAGCTGATATAAAGAGGACTTATGATATTTTATTTTATGTAATAAGACATACGATATTTTAGGGGAAATTTAGGGAAGTCAAAATCTTCATGCCTAGGGTTGTCTAATTACTAAAGAGGTCATTCCCTGCCCCATCCCTCCTCCCCCCAAAAAATCCTTGACCTGCAGTCAAAAGACATGGGGTCAATTCCAGGAATCAAGGACTGTATTTTGCCACGTGCATGATGTTTTACTTCTCTGGGCCTCAGTTTCCTCATCTTTAAGATGGGAGTGAACTAGGTACTCTTTGAAGACCCTTGGGGCAGCTAGGTGGCACAGTGGATAGAGCACAGACCTTGGAGTCAGGAGAAGCTGAGTTCAAATCTGGCCTCAGACACTTGACACTTACTAGCTGTGTGACCCTGGGCAAGTCACTTAATCCCAATTGCCTCACCAAAAGGAATAAGAATAAGAGGGTTGGATTAAGTAGATCATTCCTAAAGTGTTTGTAGTGATAATCTGTGACTCATGTGCATATATTCCAATAAATTCTTTAAAAAAAAAATGAAGACCCTTTCCAGGAGTTCTGTGATTCTACTTCATTTAGTAAATGTTCCTTTTTTTTTTTTAAAGCAATTTAGAGGAAAACCACTTAACCTCTCCGAAATTCACTTTTTACCAAAAATTGTCATTCGAATTGTGGAGCTCATAGAACAACTTAGAAACAACCAATTAGTCACTGTTTGTACCCTGTTTACGTGACTGGAGTTTAGTGAAAAAATGTTCTGGGCTTTACAGATTGTCTTTGCATGGAAAGCTACCACAGAAGGACCCAACACTGTTACTACCCCTGCTCTGCCATTAGGGTGAAACTGATGGCTGCTGAGGTCTGCTGTCTGCCGCGCTTAGCACAGTTCAGGATGGTGTCAAGCTAGGGATAACAGCTCCTGAATATTGGCTGTCCCTGCTTGATCATATCCCTGATCCTTGTTGTAATTAGAACAGCAGTTACCTTTGCCAGCTAACATTACCTCCTGGTTCTGTAATTACCAGGTAATTAACAGACTTCATCTTTGGGGATACATCCTCTCTGTTACCTTTAGCTGTGCAACAGGCTTTGGATAAGTTCTCCTTTTGGTGGGGAAAAATACAGCTTTGTTATTCATTGGGATGGCTGGCAAATTGTGCAGTAATTACACATCGTGCTTCAAGGAAAGTTCAGACCTAATTACTGCCTAAACTGCAGGACTAACTTAGCCAGATGATTATCTTGTTTGCATAATCACAGATCAAGGAGCTATTTAGGCATTTAACAACAAAGTTTACCAGATCTCCTTTTAGTAGTCAGGTCCTACTGGGGCATGTGGCCGCAATATGAATATTAGATTCACCAAATGAAGCAGGTGAGATTTCAATTAAGCAGATTCAGATTTTTGATGGCAGTCAGAGACTGACAGGGGCAGAGTGAGAAGGGGAGGAAAGGAGAGGGGTGCAGGAGAGACTGGGAATGGGAGAAAGGGACAGAGAGGAAGAGGAAGAGCAAAGAAAGAGAGTGAGATAGTGGGTGGGTGAGGGAGGGATTGACAGAGATAAAGGGAAGGAGAGAGAAAAAGAGAGTGAGAGAAAGAGAAAAGGGGAAAGAGGAGGGAGAAAAAGAAAAGGGGAAGGAGGATATTAGGGAGAGAGTGGGAGGGAGACAAAGACAGGGGAAGGAGGAGGGGAAAGGAAGGATGGGGGAGATAGGAAAAGAGGAGAGATTAGGGAGAGGAGAGTGAGGCAGGAGAGGAGAGAGATGGGGATATAGGAAGGAAAAGAGCTTTTTTACGTACTAGTTTGGAAAAGAATATAATATTTTTGATTAAGTCTGTTGAAATGATGAGGTAGGTACCTAATGCTATTGAATACACAAGGAAAACCTAAGCTCAGAAAGGCTGACTAATTCACTTAAGATTCTGCAATGAGCCATTTGATGGAACCAGGCAGTGAAGACTTCTATGTCTAAGAATAAATGCTGTTTTTATAGGGCTTTATTCTTTACAAAATGTTTACCTAAAAATAAAAAAAACAAAATAAAATCCTGTGAGGTAGATAGAAGGTATTGTTATCCCATTTTACAGATGAGGAAACAATCTCAGAGAGCTTAAATATCTTCTCAAACTCTCACAGGTAGTCATTACCAGAGCTCAGCCCAAACCTTTTGGATCAAAGTTTTTTTTTCCATTGCACTCTTTGGGGGCCTAAACCATGGTTGATAACTAGATGCTCCATTTAGGAAGAGGGAGGAGAGGGGGAATTTTCGTTATGTAGTGCTTAAAATGAATAAACAACAATAAAAATGAAAGAATTATTGCATTTCTGAGTTAGAAAGGGCCTCAAAGGATTTTGTGCAATCACTTGTTTTTAAGTCGTTTTTCACTCAGATCCAACTCTTCATGATCCCTTTTGGGGTTTTCTTGGCAAAGTTTGCCATGTTCTTCTTCATCTCATTTTAAGATGAGGAACTGAGGCAAATAGGGTTAAATGACTTGCTTAGGGTTATACAGCTAGTAAGAGTCTGAAGCTGGATTTGAGCTTAGTCTTCCTAACTCCAGGTCCAGCACTCTATCTACTGCGCCACCTAATGGCCCTATTCAATCACTACTTGAACAGTAATCCCTGCCACACCTCTGAGTGGTCATCCACTTAAAGAATTCTTGTGATGGAAAACTTGCTGTCGACCTGTCCATTTCCCCTCTTTCAGAACTAATTGTTAGGAAGAGTGGTTATGAAGTCGGTTACTACTTTTCAGTTTTCACCTATTGCTTGATTCTGCCTACTCTGGCCACAATAGAACAAGGCTAATTTCTCTTCCACGTTGTCAAATAGCTTTCTTATCTCTTACCTGTTTTTCTCCTAAACATCCCCAGATCCTTTACAGGCGCTCATGTGATTTCTAGTTCCTTCATTATACTGCTTATCCTGCTCTCCAGTGGATTAGTGTCCTGAAAACTGGGAATTCAGATTTCAATGGACATTCCATATATGGCCTGATGAAGACAGATGACAGCAGGACTGTGGACACTCTTGTTCTGGACACTGTATGCCTCTTCATGCCTCCTAAAAGTGTATTAGCTTCTGTGGTTACTATATGTACTGTTAACTCATTGAATTTTCGGTGAAGTAAACCCTTTCCCTTTGATACTTTTCCCTTTTATAGTATTGTGTATCCATATCCTTCTCATGCAATTGAGTTTTTGAATCCAAGTTTATCACTTTATCTTTATTAAATTATATCTTTTTAGACTCAGCCCATCTTTTCATCCTGCTATGTCTAGATCATGATTCCATCCTTCAACGCGTTAATTATCTCTCTCACTGTCACCCCTAGATGCTATATTTCAAGAGATTTGGGAGTAGTTCTTCCCACAAGGCAGTTCTCAGGCCAGTCACACCTTTTCATTGTGCATTCTGTTCCCATGTCCTCTCATGAGTACTCCATGGAGGATACCAATTTTAAGCCTTCCTGTTTGTTTGGTTTTTTTTAACATTCTGTGAAGCACTCAGGCTATCATTCGTCTTGTTCCCACCACATGACCAATTCATCTCCTTTTCCAATCATACATTTTCTGGATAGCTTTCACGTTAGTTTTTCCATGCAGTAATGTGCTGCCCACCATCTCTTCAATGTGGCCCTTAAGAAAACTAGTTTCCAGCACTGAAAAAATTAAGGAAATACTCACAGAAGGAATTTGATTTTAGAGCAGAACTAATCTTGACAATCCTTTCCAGAAACTTCAGATAACATTGGTTCAAAACCAGTGAAATTAGGTGGACATGGAAATAGCAATCCTTAAAATAGCCACTAGGTGACAGTAAGTACACACAGATTATGTAGAAGCCTCGCTATTTACTCCAAGAAGATAATTTAGCTTAGTCTAGAAAAAGGAGAGAAAGAAGTCACTAACTAAAGAAAAAGGAAAATAAAGAGAGGGAAAGACAAGGAAAAAGAGAAAGCAAAGAAAAGAAGAAAAGAAAGAAAGATAAGTCAGAAAGAAAGGAAGAAAAGGAAGGAAAGAGGAGGAAAAGAAAAGGAAGGGAAGAAAGGAAGAAAAAGGAAGGAAAGGATGAAAGAAAAGGAGGAAAAGAAGGCAAGAAAGAAAGAAGGGAGGGAGGAAAGAGAAAAGAAAGAAATAAAGAGAAAAAAGGTATTTAATCCTATAATTTTGTAGAAAGGAAGTTGAATGTTTATCTACCCCACTCCCTTAATTTCCCATATTATCACATATAAACCATCTGAGACTGATGAAAATTTATTGCTTTTTTAAAACAACCCCAGCAAAGGAAGTTTCACAACTTTCCCTACTAAAGTACATAAATGTTTTAAAATGATCACAGCAGTTCACTTACATCCAAACTCTGGTGAACATAGAATACAGTGATATGAAGGAAAAATCATTGACTCTGAAGTCAGAGGATCTGTGTTCAAATCCTGTCTCTGATGGTATATCTGTGTGACCTTGGTCACTTAATCTTCCTTGATCTCAGTTTCCTCATCTGCAAAATGAGGTGCAGCCCTAGATCAAGGGTGTATAATATGGTTTCAAAAATATTTTGATAATTATATTTCAATATCATTGTTTCATTTGTCATCATATGCATTATATTTTGTGAATTGTAAAACATTATTCTGAGAAGAGATACATAAGTGTTCATCAGGTTGCTAAAAGGGGTCATGATGCAAAAAAACCCCTTAAGAACCCTTGCACTAGGTGATTTCTTCTAGCTTTATAATTTTGTGGATTCCTGAATATCTCATATGTGTTCAGAAGCTGA